TATATATATAGATGAGAGCCTAATTACAATGATCTGAAAACTAAAAAACTAGACCGCCTTTCACAATAAATAAAAACAAACCAAATAGCAGCCCTTTGACTTGTACTTCCTTTATTAAAAAACAAAGTTGTCTTGATGTTATAGTAATTGCTACCCTGTCCTCGTTCTGCTTGATAATGATGGGTTATTGTACTTCCAGCTTCCCAAACGAGCGACATAAGGGGGGGGAAAAAAGCGAATTCCGAACGCACGGGCTTCCGTAGGCACCAACAGCAGAGGGACCTGCTCGCTGCCTGAGCCTGAAAGCATCCTCCTCTCTCCGCTTTCCTCTTTTCATCCTCACCAAAACACCGCGGGATGGACGGAAAATCAGGAGCGAAGTGTCTCCATTTCTCCCGGTTTGCGGCGGAGCCTCGGTACGAGTCACGTTAGCGTTTTTAGCTTGCGTAATGCTTGCTCGACATGAGGCTGTTTTCCCTGATGAGGAGGAGACAAAATAGCCTGTCATAGTTATCCTGAACAGAGACGAGCTGGGCTGAGCTGCTTGTTTGCTTTTTTCCCCCTTTATTGTTACTTTGTTTTGTCTTTTTTTCCTTTTATTTCTCTTGTGATGCGGAGAGTCGTCGGTCCTCCAGCGGAGTAGATGCACAGATAGAAGTAATCCGCCTCGCAACATAAAGGTAGGTGCACTGTATCAGCACGCTTCCTGGGATGCTTTGTTTTATCCAGCACCTTGTTTTTGCTTTCCCTAAAGCGTTTATCCTGCAGCTTGTATCATTTTGCAGTTGTGTATATTGTAAAGATTTGATTGCCTGCTTTGCACCCACACACAAACCCTTTATTTGTTTTTGTCATCATGCACATTTCCACGAATTAGCAGCATCCTTACACCCGCCATACTAGGCTTCCCTCAGCCTTCTTCCACCGTTCTAATGTAAAATCAACACAGGGAGCTGCAAAGATGGAATAGCTAGATTGATTGATTGATTGATTGATTGGTTGATTTATTTATTTATTTATTTATTTATTTATTTATTTATTT